AATAAGATTTTATAATGCCACATGTAAAGTTTTGTTTGCTTTTTTTTTTTTTTTTTAGTGTGGGACTTCTGTTTTTCTTATTTTTTAAGGGAGTTTCAAATTATGTAATATTTTAAAAATGAGAACTAAGATGAATTTGTAGTTGAAATCTGCACCAGCTTTCAGCGAAGCTGATGTGGACGCTGGATTCTGGAAATATGGAGGAATGTTTTTGACATGATGAGGGGGAGAGGCATTTCCATAATTCCTGGGGCTTCTCATGAGAAGACAGAAAGGAAAGGGAAATGCTGATGAATGATATTTACCTTGCTGCTTTAATATTCCTGGCCCTGGAGTTGGTAGTGGAGCCCTCACTTTTTCCAGGGAGAAATCTGAGGTATCTGTGCACAAAACCAGTCAGTTTTCATATTTCCTTGCATTTCCTGTGGGTTGGATCCCTTCTGCTCTGCGCAGCTGTAGCCTGTGATGAGGGAAGAGAGATCTGAGCTGCTTTTCCTGAAGGTTTTGCTTCATTACAGGCTTCTTACTCCTTCTAGTAAACATGCTACTAATACAGTAAGTAATTCTGTGGCACCATCTACTTAAGTATGTCGGATAAATTTATCCGATTATCACCTGGTGTAATAAGGAGTTGGTAGCATCAGCCATCTGTAAAATGGAGATAAGGCCTCCAAATTTGGTTGGCAGAGCTTAAACAGGGAAGGGAGATGAATGTTGTGATTTACCACCTCTGCTTCCAGCCCTGGCATCGCTCTACTGGGTGTGCTTACTCACATGTGAAAACTCTGTGCAGCTATCCAGGTACTTGGAATTTTGCTCTGGCTTTCATAAACGCATGATTTTGGAAATTTAGATGAAGGAAACTGGTAACTCCATGGAGGGCAGATTGCTGCCCAGTTGTATCAGTGGAGTAATGAATGTTGAGCACTAACTAGAGCATGAAACACTAACTAAAGCGTGAAGTAGAGAAATTTTCTATTGCATTTTTCTCTGGGTAAGTTCCTCAACTCCCTTCAGTCCAAAGGCTATCTGACTTGTTACAGAAAAAAAAAAAGTATTACGCAGTATTTTCATAGCTGTTTTCTTTTACAACCAAACAAAAACTAGGCCATGCTTTGAATGCTTCTTCAAACTTTTAGGTCTTGTCCTCTTGTTATCTTCTCGTTTGCATATGTATGTTTGTATGTATTATTTTTTACTTTTATATCAACTTGTTTTCAATTGTATCAGGCCACTTCCTGATACCTTATTGACAACAGATGAGAAACTGCTGTAGCAAAAGCCTAGCTTGTAGGAAAAAGCTGATTTTTATTTCATCTGCTTCCCTGTGTTCCAGAGGACCATTCCATACCTCATTTCTGTATCCACTTGCTGCTCTCTGTATATAAACTTTACAAGATAATGATCTGCTGAAACCAAAGGGAACGTTTTCACAATTAGCTGTTCTCCAGCGGAGAGTGCGTGATGGGAAGCGTTAAGTGTCCTGTTACAATGCATGTAAATCCTTTTACTGGCTGAACACAGGAGCTCATACCAATGAGTTCCCACTATTATCCACCATTCCTGGCCAGGGCTCTTGAGGCTGTTCCCAAATAGGCTCTTTAGTAAGTAGAATGAAAAATGGGCTGAAGAATAACTCCAGTATATATTGCTCTGTAGGGTTAGTGTTAATGGCATGATAAGCGTTTCCTAAAGCAGGTTAAACAGCTGTTCCCAAGTCATTTTATTGTGTTCTCAGACCTGTGTTTGATGGTGTAGATTCACTCTGTCTTGTTGATACCAGACATGCTGAGGTTTTTAATTAAACAGTAATTATTCAAACTTGTTTGCATGATTGTCTGGTTTGTGTGATTTCACACATTTAGACAAGGTTGAGATGTAAAGAAGCTACAGAGTATTTCAGGGAGAGGCAAGAGTGTGAATTGCTGATAAAGAGAAGGCATATCCTGTAGGTGATTTTTAGAAAGCAAAATTAGAGAATAATTTGATAAAAACTGGGGAGAAATTACCAGGAAAAGGGCAACATGGCTGAATTGACAAAGGTCTGTGGCGTCTTGCCTGGTGGGGCAACACTCTGTAGATGTCTTACTGGGTAATGGGGTTCAGACCTGTAATGAACTTCAGAGTCCTCAGCAGCAGTTTGGTTCTGGGGCTTAAAGATGAAACAGTGAGAGTTTCATGGTTCACCCTATACTTCTTTTCTCCTCATACCTGTCTCTTGCCTTTGCGGTTCCAGGAGTTAACCAGACAATGTTGAGCCCAGTTCAGGGGCTGGTTTGTGCTGTTGGTTGTCCAGCAGAAAGATGGGAAGCAGAGACAGTGACTCAATAGGCAGGAGGAGATGTGTTAGTACAGACTGGCACTGCTTGGGGAGTTAGTTGGGGTGCATTTTGAGTAGCCCCCTTTAGGGGAGGCCTCTGCAACATCAGCCAGTGGCTGAGCATCACTGAAGGCTCTGGAACTCTCTGCGGGGGATGTGTATGTGTGCATTGGAGGAACAACATCTGCTGTCCTGTGTCTTGAGCAGTTAAACCCAAGAATTGCCAGGGTGGACACTGAGAACTGCTGCTCTGGAAATCCAGGATGCCTTGTGCTCTACAGACATTATCACTTCATCCAGCAGTATCCCATATCAACACTGAATTATCTTGTATTATTTTATTGCAGATTTCTGGTAGGTAGCTGGACATCTTTAGGAGCTGCTGCATAGGTGGGGTTAGCAGGTGATATGTCTATTAAAGCAGAGGTGTTAAGACTTGCTTCTCTGAGTCACATTAGCAGGAATCTCAAGCCCGATGAGGCATATGGGATAAGGTCATTTGTCCTGAATTTGGTTTGGTTTCATTAAGTCATTTTATGAAACAAACAGCAAAGTGTCTGTTATGAAGTCTGAGGAATTAAAGATTGCTTGTTTTCCCTGTTTATCAGGGCCTAGGGCACATGAAGGAGCAGCTGGGAAATCCTTATCAGGAGAAGGTCAGGGCTTTCAAGTAAAGGATATGGCTTTTTATCTTCCTTGAGTTAATCTGTTACCCAGTTAACAACTTTTTGAACTATGTATTGAAGCTGAAAGAAATGCTTCTTGCTCCTGTAGTTTTACTGTGTTCTCAAAATTGTAGATATATTTAAGAACTTCTGCACAATGGCAAGGAAGGGATAATGAAGCCTACCTGGCTTTTCTAGGTACCTTTCATCAGTGGATTTGACATGCTTTATAAAGAGCTTGTTCACAGCATGCCTCTTACAGAGAGGAAGCAACCCACCTGCTCCAGACTGGAGAGCAGAACTCAGGTATGGGGTGAACAGAGTCCAGGGTTGTACCCTCATTTTTCACACTGTTTCCTATGTGTGGAATGGGTAGAAAAGAAAAGATGGCTTTGAAAAACAATGTAAGCTTAGTTTACAGTCACATAATAGATGTAGTTTTGAAGTCAGGGTGAGATAACAGGCTGCAGTCAGGCACTTGATAAGAGAACACTCTGAGTCATCAGCTTTGCCCTTTCTTTGATGTCATTTGTCCTCTGGGGCCACATTCTTAAGACCCATCTTTTTTCACTTCTGCATCTGAGAGTCAGTTACTGTCCAGAGCTGCCCAGTTATGGTCAAATTTGCTGTCAAAAACTCTTTGTTTTCTAGCTACAAACAGTGGAAGAGGAGAGGTAAGTTTTAAAGATTTTGCCACAGCTTGCTGTGATTGAGGAATTGTTGGGTTGGTAGCCCTTATTAGGAACCTTTCTCTCTGCTTTGGAACTTAAGTATGTTGACATAGTAAATTATTGTAATTCATGCTCACTGTAGCACACTGTCATAGAGTTTAATAAAATTATGTCAAATGAAGTGTCTCCTTCCTTTGTAATGATGTGCAAAATTAATGGATTAAATTTCTGCAGCGTGGTAAAACGACACATTTTTCTTTCCTTCCATGAGTTGTTCTAGGCAGGATCCAAAAGTGCTGAGCAAGGGTTTTGTTCGTTTTGGCAGATCCTGCTGTGGTGGGAGCTGGACAGACAGGAAATGCAGGCCTCTTAGCTGATTCACAGGACAAATTTGGCCTGTGATGCTTTGCTTAGTGGAAATGTCTCTGTGACTCGATATAATTGGTGGTGCTCCTGGGTGTTGTGAGCAGGGAGGTAGTGATGATGTGAACGTGTGAAAGCAGCACATCCTCCCAGGGGAGTGGCCTGGCTGGGCTTCTGCCTGTATTGCACCACTCCAGAAGCACCAAGCAAAGGAACAGAATATTTTAAGGCTCCTTCTTTTACAATATCTTATCAGGTCTACTGTTTTTTCCCTTTTTGTCTTCTAGATTTGGCAAAGCCTCCAGTAAATGAACCAAGGGAAGCTGAACAGTTTCTAATGCAGACGCCCCAGGGAAATCCACTGCTGCTTTCCCACACCCTACAAGAGCTATTGAGCAAGGATAGTGTGCAGGTGGAGCTTATACCTGAGAAGAAGGGCCTTTTTCTGAAACATGTGGAATATGAGGTTTCCAGCAAGGTAATGTGAACAGGCTTTGGGCTTGCTGAGAATGTATCCTCCTCAGAATGTCTGTGCAGTTTCTCCTAGCAAATCCTGAGTGTTTTAGATGTGCTGGGTGATGCTGGTTTTAAGTAGACCAGTTGTGTGGGCTGACTTTTAATGCAGTAGCACTGGGCTTCTGCAGCATGGACCATCTAACTGAGCTGTGAAGAATGGTCTGTGAATTCACTTGCTTGAAAACCTGAGCTCTGTACAAAAGCAGGTGTATGACAACAAAAACGGAATGGTTTTGTAACAAATTGGCGTAGGTAGCTGGATATTTCAAACTGATTTGAGCTAGTGAAGGAATTGTATTTACAGTGCAAAAAACAAAAAGAAAAATGTGGAGGTGCTGCTGTCTAAGCCGTGTATTGATTTATCCCCACCTCGTTAATTGCAGCGATTCAAGTGCTCGGTGTACAGACGCTACAACGACTTTGTGGTGTTCCACGAGATGCTGCTGCAGAAGTTCCCATACCGCATGGTGCCAGCACTGCCCCCAAAGAGGATGCTGGGAGGTAAAGCTGCATCTGCATTTTGACTTGGGGTTTGCTTCACAGTGCAAGCATGATACTGTTGGAAAGAAATGTTTAAAAGGTTGAAAGTCTTGACTTCTGCTTGCCTCAGACAACAGCTTTGAGGTTATAATACACAATAGTTGTGTGTGTTACTTTGAGGTGTGAATTACTGCCATGCTAGAAATTCCTATAGGTGAGATATGAATGCAAAATTTCAGTGTCTATTGATTTTTCTAAAAAATATTTTGGGTGTAATTCTACACAAGAGCATGGCAGAGTTGCAGGTATTGTTTCTTAGAAAAACAGGTTGTGATCAGTAGTAGTGGACTTGGCAGTATTAGTTCAACAGCTGGATTCAGTGATCCTAAAAGTTCTTTTCCAACCTAAATGAAATCCATGTAAGTTCATTCAAGTATACTTTAGCAGTTAGACTAGAAACCAAGAAGTATCCCAAGACAGAAAGCATATCAAAGCTCCTTCAGGAACATTTTTTCATTAATCTCAAATATTGACACCAGTTTTAGGCACTTATTATTTCAAAAATTGTATAACTGTATAAAATTCTGTCTTGTTTAATACTTTATCTGTGAAAGAACAAGCTTTTTAGTGTCTTCTCTCCTTCCCATGGTGCTAAGCTCAATGTGTTTCAAATAATTGATTTCAATTGAGGAATTCATGTATTGCTCTAGTAAAGCAGAATTGATAAACAGTGAGCAGAGCAGGGTGTATATTGAACTGGAGCAAAGCAAAATTACACCCCTTAAAAGTTTCCATGGTCATATATTCTTATGATGGGATGTGAATTGTGAAGACTTTTTTGGGGGGGTTGTGAAACCCATGTGTGAGTTTAACCTGATTCAGTGTTCTCAGCCAGAATTTCCACGTCATGGAACACATGTGCAAAAAGAGACCTCTGATTAATCTCAGTGGACAGAGGATGCTTGAAAGAAGCTCCCAGTATCTCTCACTTGTCAGGGAATGTTACTTCCTTGAATTGCTGGTCTGTTGATATTTCCCTGCATTCACTGCTGCATTTCTTCCCACACATAGCATAACTTTAGACAGAAAACTGATAGGATTAGTTCCCAAACTGTGCTAGGAGAACAGTTCTAACAGTGCAAAGCTGTGATAAGGCAGAGAGTGTTTGCTTTTAGTCCAGTGACTGCATGTAGAAGAACTGTGGAAGTGGGCTTACTGGAAACTGCAAACAGGAAAAAGGAAAGGGAATGGGTAGTTCTTGTTTCAGAGTAGATTAATGGACTGACAAATGGTGTTGCAGCACGCAGGGTTTGTTGGATTAGTATAGATGTGTGACTCTTGGAGCCTCCAAGTCCCAGACCTGGATGGACAAAGCTCTGTGCTTCATCCTTGGTGTGCCCCTCTGCTGAGTTACACGGATCCCAGTGGGGATCAGTCAGATGGAGATGGATGACCTACTCTGCTCGTTTGGAGGACAGCAACCATCTGAGGCACATCCTGTAGGAAGTGTGTACACGAGTTCAGAAATGTCCGTGTAGGTGAAGTGTCAAAAGAGTTAAAATCCTGCATGATATGAGAGTATTGTCATAGATAAGAGCATTCCTTCAATTTCTTTCTATGCTGCTTTCTTTTCCTTTAATTTTTGGTTTTATTTTTTATTGTTCCTGAAGAACTCCAGGAACTTCTATTTACTTCCCTATTGCAGTTATTGTCAGATTGAAATTCTTCCTGTTTCAGCAAGATGAACAGATTTTTTTTTTTTTTTTTTTTTTTTTTTATTTTTTTTTTTTTTTTTTTGTAGTTTTAGTTTTATAAGTAAAGACTCTGGATGGATGTACTGCAGATTGCTGTGCAAGTCTTCCAAAGTACTTTTTGACGTCTTGCATGAAAAGGATGGATGCTGATCTTGGGAGTCCTAAGACAGGCTGGGATATCCTTTGTAGAATTGATTCAGGGGAAGAAGAATCTCTGTAGGCCCATAGTTTGTAAGTGGAGGTTTCAGGCCTTAGGCTTGGTTGTTTGTCCTTCCTCCCTGACCCGCCCTGTGGAAATACCATGTGTAGCTATGTATGCTGGATTTTGGTAAGAGGTAAAGAATGCTTGACAGAATATTTGTTCAGGTGGTCAGTCTGAAAGGTCTGGTTTTGGGAGCTGACAGACTATAGGTATCCATTGTTTGGTTTTTGTTGCAGTGATTTCTTTTTTCTTTCTGAGATGTAATGTGGGGGCATTAATTGAAATTTCATGTTTCTTCCTGCAGCTGATCGTGAGTTCATAGAATCGAGGAGGAGAGCGCTGAAGCGATTTATAAACCTGGTGGCTCGACATCCCCCTTTCTCAGAAGATGTGCTCTTGAAACTCTTCCTGTCCTTCAGTGGCTCAGTGAGTGTTTGTTAGCAATAGTCCTGAGCTTGCAAGTCTTGCTGTAACTGCCTCGCTGGGCACAGCATTCAGAATTGCTGTTAACCTACATGGCTTTGCTCCCTGGGATGAAGAGAATTTTCTCTCAGTAGGTGTTTCCACAGTGGAAAGTGGAAGGTAATTTCACTCAATGCCAGCAGTGTAATATTTTGAAAATGATAACTGTTCTTAGGGGAACAGAGATTATGCTTTTCCTTAAATGAAACTTAACCTGGGTAAAGCTGCATCTGCTGAGTTGTGCCTTGCTGCTGCAATATATCTGAGACCTGTGTGAACTGCCAGTATTTTTTCATAGTTCTTTCTTGCTCATTTGATTCTATATTTTCTCCAGGATGTACAGAATAAGCTAAGAGAATTGGTCCAGGGAGTAGGAGATGAATTTGTGACTTGCAGATTAGCTACCCAGGCCAAGGTATGTATATGAATTTCTTGCAACATGTTATTCTACTTCAAATATCTTTCTTCTCCAGGTGCTTCAATTATGGCATTTGTGCAGTGATGGACACCTTAAGTAGGAGACAGTTGTTTCCAGAGTTTGAAGGACTTGTAATTTTATTGAAAAGATCAAATAAACTTTTGACTCTTAAGGGCCTGATATTTCTAGCTAAATTCTGGTTCATGAATATGATATAGATTAAACAATGAATCCTGCTTTTAGAACGTGTTTCTCTGTAATTACTTGTACTTGCATAACAAACAAATGCACAAATTGCACAATTTAAAAGGTAATGTCTAGATTGATGTCTTTCCCTTGTGCTCATGCCCTCATTCTGTCTGTTCTCTCCCTGTGGGAGAGCAATTTGGATTGTTATGGAAAAGCTAGTTATAAGTTCTCCATATATCTGTTTATCCCAGTGATTGGTGCTATGACAAGTTTTAAGTACACATCCACTGTGTTCATTGAGCAATTTCAAAACAAGTTGTTGTTCAGGTTCCTGCAATGCTTGCAGAAGGTTTTGCAACTGGAGCTTAATTCAGGCTTTTACCAGTTGTAAACTGGTCAAAAAAAAGCTGAACTTTCAGTTCATACTTGACTTTACTGGGCTGGGACTTACCAGTAGGATCAGATCAGAACTTGTGAGCTTTAAACCTCACAAACCCTGTTTTAAAGATATAGAAAAATTGCAGATTTTGCCAACTCTGTGCTGGGTATTTGAACCTCTTTCTGCCTCTGAAAATTAGGGCTGATTGTGAGAGATGTGACTTGGACACCTAAGTGGGAAACGGATCTCTGCAGAGCTGTTAGAGCACAGTGGCAGAGTGAGCACAGGAGGGAAGCCTGTCCGTCTGGAGACTGTGGTGTGCCTCTGATTTATCCACCAGTAATCCCTCTGTACTTTTTCAGGACTTCCTCCCAGCTGACATTCAGGCCCAGTTTGCTGCCAGCAGGGAGCTGATCAGAAATATTTATAACAGCTTTTATAAGCTCCGGGACCGTGCAGAGAGAATCGCTTCGCGAGCCATCGATAACGCCTCTGACCTCCTCATATTTGGGAAGGAGCTAAGGTAGGTTTGGAGGAACAGGGTTTGCTGATTTCTACTCTTGGTTTGGAACTCAAAACTCTTGTAAAGTTTACCTGCAGATGGTCTTGTAAAAATGGGTGTTTCAGTGCATGCTGTAGGACATAATAAATTTTCCTTTTCTAAAAGAAGGAAGTACACACTATTGACTAAGGCTGCATTCTGTAGAGTGAGGAATGAAAACAGAAATACCTTCACATTTGGGTACTTGTGCTATTGTCTCTCTCCCCAGTATGTACACAGTTAACTCTGCATTTGTGATAGGACAGTAGTAGCTCGGCACCGTGAGCTATTTAGACAGAATTGAAACAGTTGTCTGCAAATAACTTTATCCACTCAGTGGAATTTGTCTCCGAGATGTGACCACTGCTTTTCTCCTTCCAGTGCTTTGGGCTCAGACACTACTCCACTTCCTTCCTGGGCTGCTTTGAATAACAACACATGGGGGACTCTGAAACAAGCCTTGAAGGGTCTGTCTGTTGAATTTGCACTTCTGGCAGATAAGGCTGTGCAGCAGGTGAGTCCTTTACTTTTGTCCTTTTTTTCTTTTTTTCTTTTTGTAACATGAATGAGGCACACTGCTGCCCTAAATTTCATCTTCGGTCATGAGCTCTGTGGACATAAGCCCTTCAAGAGTTAAGAGGGAGACTGTAATCCAAACTCACATCCTCAACCAACAGCCTGCTTGTTCAAGCTTGTGTGAAATACCTGGACTGTGTTTAAATTGGGAAAAAATGTAACAGGCAATGGAAAGGAAGGAAAAATCTGCTTTCTTTCTTACTTTTAAATGGTTACTGCACACATTAAGTTCACTACTAGGGTGAGCTGTGCAAAAGTGCTGTGTTCCATTTTATTAATCTGCCGCAGAGAACCCAGAATAACTTCTGAATCAAATTTTCATATTCATGTACTTAAACGTTACATCAGAATCACTCAGATAGAAGCACCACATTCTGGTCTAAGTGTACAGAGTAGTAATGACTGTCAGAATGATGTGAGAACATGACAGTCTGGGAAGGAAAAGTAATAGTTTTGTCTTCAGTGCTCTTCATCTCATTGTGTTAAAACAGTGTGCTTTTGTAGATCAGTCAGGCCAGGTCTCTTTCTCTGGAGTGTATGCTCCAGAGAGCTCTACTGTTACAGGAAGAAAAGAGTATTCTATAAAATAAAAAAAATTGGTAGTGAAATTTGTCGTGGTGTCTCATCTCTGCCTTCTGATGCATGAACTATTACGGGGAAGATGCAGGAAGAGTTTTAATGGATTAGTTATCTTGTAGGAAGGGAAGATGAAAGATTGGAGGAAACTGCACGAGGAAGGAATTCCAGGCAGAATGCGCTGAAAGGACTGACACACGGGCCTGTGAAACCAACTCCTTTTCTTCTAATGATCAGTCAGTTGGAAAAGCTGTTCCTTCCTCAGTCAGGTCTTTGTTCTGCACACTGAAGACTAAACACTCCAGTGCCATGGGAGAGATTTTTGATGCAGCTGTGTAAGCGCTGATGTGCCCTGGAGAGAGCAGTGAGAGCCTGAGTGGTGTGTGGGGGGATGAAGGGCTGTGATGCCAGGCTTACGTAAAATGTACTTTTTCCTTGTTTTCTAGGGTAAACAGGAAGAGAATGATGTGGTGGAGAAGTTGAACCTTTTCCTGGATTTACTCCAGTCCTATAAAGTGAGCTCTGCTGTTCTGCCAACAAGAAAGTTGTTTAGAGCAAGTTTGTGCTTTTTAGAGGGTGTAACGCCAACTGGATGGAAAACTGTCTGTGAGGCCAGTTCAGAGGCAAACTGGGCATCTGGCAGAGGGAGGGGAGTGGCTGTTGGCCATAAGAGCTCTAGCTTTCCTGATAGCTCAGCTGATGATGAGAACTTGCCAAAGAGCAAACTCTACAAGGAATTTAAAAACATGACTGGTTAAACTGTATGGATCAGCTAAATTTTTGTTTTTAGATTTGGCTGCTTTTGAGTCAAAGCAGTGAACTAGATTGCTATTGATTTGCTCATGGAGACATGAGTTCAGTTATGAATGAAAGGATTTTTTTAATACTAATCTTCTGGTCATCTGTATGTGGTAGCCTCTCCTGACATTCCCAGGCCAGGACTGAATTTGAAGGACTTGAGCCAGCACTTTAATTAATTGCCAGCACTTAATACTGAGAAGGTCAGGAAAGATAAGAGGCTGATAAGAGCCAAAACGTTGGCAGAAGTGATGCTCCAGGTTGCCTCTTAAGTTCACTGGTCTGGGTTCAAGTAGTTTTGTTTCTTATATTCTTAGCTACTGGCATTTTTTGACCCTCTTGAAGACAAAGGAGCAAAAATCTGCAGTGTAGAAATGACAAAGTGTGACCACACGTGTGTGTCCTGATGTACTCCGCTGTGTGTTTGCTGACTCTTGGCTCCACTGCTGTTTTCTTTTCCCATAAAGGACCTGTGTGAAAGGCATGAGAAGGGGGTATTGCACAAGCACCAGAGAGCGTTGCACAAGTACAGCGTTATGAAGAAGCAGATGATGAGTGCCACTGTGCAGAACAAAGAGCCAGAATCAGTGGAGCAACTGGAGTCTCGGATTGTGGAGGTAGGGCATGCACCTGAGAGAGCAAAAGATGGGACTGGACTCTGTAATGGTGCTGCTCTGGAGCTCAGTCACATTTGCAGAAAGGGTGGCCTGTACTTTGGGAAATCTGTGCTCCCCGCTGTGCCACGTGGAAAACTTGTTGGTTTGCCTCAACACTTGTTACTGCCTCTCAGGCAGCACATCATCTGCAGGAGCTATGGGAAGCAGCAGTCTGCATGATGGAAAGGGCAGTTTGGTTGTATCAAACAGCTCCAGGAGCTGCCTTTTTTAGGTTTTTGGTATGTGTTTGAATTGCTGGTATGGGGAGGAATGCTGTTTTCTCCCGTTTCTCCTTTCTCCCATCCTCTTCCTGGTCACTTCTTTCAGCAAGAAAATGCGATCATAACCATGGAGCTGCGGAATTACTTCTCCTTGTACTGCCTGCATCAGGAGACACAGCTCATCCACATCTACCTGCCTCTCACATCTCACATTCTGGGGGCCTTTGTCAACTCCCAGATTCAGGGTCACAAAGAGGTGAGTTCTAGACTGTGTCCTTTTTCACCAGATACGAATTCATCCAAATACTAATGGATTTGTTTTCATCCATTGGCCTTCATCCTCTAATCATCTGTGCAATTGGGCTCTCTCATAAATTAGGAAGTTATCTGAGGTTTTTCCAGTTTGGGGTGAGGATCAGGGTTGGCCTCTAACCCCTCTAAAAGATGGTATCTTCTTGCAGCAATTTTTTTTTCTTCTCTCATCTGTAGCTGGCCCTACCCTGTGAGTAACTGAAAAAGACCCAACCATTAAATCTCTACTCTTTAATGAATGATGTGTTTCTGCTAGATTAATCTGTTTTTTTGTTGAGCTACACAATATGTTGTATGACAAGAAAACTTTCCAGGTTTTACTCTAAAACTTAGGGTTTAACAAAAAGGAGTTTCTAAATATGGCCTTTAATACTCCCTACATACAGCTTTCTAGCTTTGGTTATATTAGAAAAGTCTTTTCTCCTTCAGATCCCTTCCATCCCTTCAGTGAAGGAATTTGATGAAGGGAAATCTCCCTTCCATACAAGCTCAGGAAAATGTTCATGGAGCTACCCTGGTCTGACAGGAACATTCTGGGTCCACTAAACTTCCTGAAAATACTTCAGCAAATTTGTGTTGTGCTTCTGAATGCCCAAGACTGCTGCTAAAATTCCATGTGGTGAGATTGTTAGCTGCTGTGTGGTCATGTCTGCTTTCTCTCCTTCTCCACTCACAGATGAGTAAAGTTTGGAATGAATTGAAGCCGAAGTTGAGCTGCCTTTTTGTGGGATCCAGCAGTATGCCAACTCCGCCACTCTCACCTCCAGAGGGAAATTTCTTTTCCAATTAATGTTCCAAGCATCCCACATGGAGCAAGAAGGGCAATCAACGAAGGGGTGGGACCTCTACCTCCAATGAATCCTCCAAAACAGCTATTTTTTTTTTTTTAATACTGCTGCTTTGAGCTGCTCTCTGATTTAGACAGACTGGATGTGGGGCAGAACATACGGATATAGAGACAATTTTGTAATTTTGCAATGCCCTGGGGCAGAACTGAGGTTCATTATCCTGCAGACACTCCTCATGGGGTCGGGATATGGCCTGGCACAGCGAGTGCTGCAGTGTTTGTTGTTGCTGAGGCCTCTGCATCCTGTACTAACAGTCCTCCAATCGTGTTTATCTGCAGCTGTGCTGACACATCTCTGCACGTCTCTGAAGTGCTGAGATGAACAGGATAGCTGAAGCACTTGCTTGTAGTGGAGATAAATTGCTTTTATGCCTTGGAGGGCCTGTGTTAGGGATGTGTGTGCATAAGAAAAGCTGAAAGCCATCCCCCATCCCATTGTAGGCATCTGGATTTGATTTCTAACTGCTAGACCTTAGCACAAAATGAGTGGAGTGGTTGGATTCTGTAAGCCAGCTGGGCAGGCGTCAGCGCTGCTCCGTGACAGGGATTTTCCTGGTGGTGCTGGATGGACTGTATTGTCAGTGTGTTTCCCTTCACGGCTGAAGGGCAGCCTGGGGACTTGCTCATATTTTTCAGTTTGGGGCCAAAGACAGCTGGGTTCAGGAACTCAGAGGAGTTTGCCTAGCATAAATGAGAAAACAATTGACTACAACATTCCTTAATTGTGAACCACTTGTACTACAGGAGTGGAACAGCTACAAGGTAGCTTGTTTATTTCTTCTGGAGGTTCTGACCTCCATCTGGTGAGTGGCTGTTCAGATCTGTTGGTGAGCTGCTGACCTCAAGGCTGGTGTTTTCTTTGGTGTAATATCAGAAGTATCCTGTTGCACCAGCAGGCTGGAACACAGTGCTGATAAAGTTCATTAGCAAAAATTCAGTATTATCAGGATGTTACTGTCATTCTTCTTGGCTGTAGGTAGCATTGCAGTATGTTTGTTTGTGAAGGAGAGTAGACAATTAAGTGAATGTTCTCATCTCTAAAATGCCACAGCCCTTGGTAATGGGGTTTTCAGAATGGTTTGTGGTTGTGATAAAGGGACTAAACATTCTCCACTTTGCATCTCCAGTGGCTTTGCCTTGGGAGGCAAAGGGGGAGAACGTACATGTCGTGTTACCTCAGGGGAAATGGTGCATATCCTCCAGAGAAACTGATAATCAAACTGCAAATGTCTGCAGCAAAACCCTGTGTGAACAGGACTCCCTGAACCTGACTTCTCTGGGGCCAAAATAGCTTCCAAAGGGGAATTTGTGACTTGGTTTCTTAGCATTTTCCTCGAATGGGTAAAAAAGGAAGCACATTAACAAGGATGAGTGCTTGCTGTTAAATTGGAACCATTACAATATTTTCCCACTAGGGAACTTCCCCATTATCAGGAAATCTATTTAAATCCTCCAATCACAAAACCTTTTTTGTTTTGATTTTTTTTTTTAATTTAGAAATTTCAGTGCAACAAACTCTTCCTAGCCCGGGTAGAAATTCTGGATTAGTTTCTTCAGCTAGGAGCAAGAGAAGTTATTTGCCCAGTTTCAGGAGACTGAAAAAACATTACTCACACTCCTCAAAGTGGAGTAAATACATTGCTATGGGTGAATTCCTTGAGTGCTGGGCCTTAAGCAGTGTGTAGCCAACCTTGCACAGAATGCATTAAGAGCTTTTTCCAACAATTCAAATGTTAACTCACTTTCCTCCTGCACATGGGCCTTGTCCAGTGAGACAGATGAACTTCAAATGGCTGTGACAGATTTAATTCTCTCCTGGAGATCTCCTATGCGATGCACAAGAAATTCTGCTCACAAGCTGGAGCAAACTGTCAGGGGAGAGAAATGTTTCTACAGTCCAGTTACAGAGAAGATATAATCTCAGGCACGGTACAACAGGTTTTTCTGCTTGACCTTGCCTTGATTAGAAAGATGGTTTGTGGTTCAAGTGTGCAAAGTGTGTTACCAGAGTTTTCCATGCTCTGCACTCCTGGCATTATCAAAAGGCGCTGGCTGGTTATGGCTGGCTTAGTCTCAGCACTCATCCTCCCTCACTTGTTTGCCTGATGTGATGAACAGTGAAATTGAGAAAATACTTTATGTTTTGGGTCTCATAAGTTATTTGTTTGATTGGGCAGTGTTCTGTAGGAGTGCTTGCAAAGGACTAGCCTGAATGGAACTTTGGACTTCTCACTTCTAGAAAAACATTACAATTTTGAAGTTGATTTAGAATCAAAAAACCAACCCCCCAAAAAGCAAACATCAAAATTACATTAGGGCTTTAGGCTAACTCTTCTTTCCTGTTCACCTTCAAGCACAACCTGTACAGTCCTAGTGCAGAGACTGTAACAATAATACACACATCACAAGACCTATAAAGAAGCTGAAATTACCTTGTTTTCAGAAACACCCCATTCCTCCATTGTCAGCCCTCATGTCTTTGAGGAGCGTTTTGGGAGTGGGCTTTTCTTGTTTTGGTTTTACTCTGTTCAGCAGGTATTTGAGAACTGAGGCCCAGCATTCTCAAAGCTGATCCAGCTGATCTGGCACTTTCAGAGTTTTTCTGTCTCATTCCTAAACACATGCAGGCACTATTTTTCATACAAGCCTTAGTTTGCAAACCTTTCTTCTAGGAGACTGATCTGTGTGCAAATAGCACTGTTTGTTTACCTCAATGTGTGAGGGATTTCCTTACTGTCATTGTTACGTTCAGTTTATGGATCTGTCAGACTTGGAGGGCAGCATCAAGCACAGCTTCCTTCCTCCAGAGGGAAGCAGCAGGGACTCCAAGGATCCATCAAGCTGACTTCAGCTGTCTGTCTGTCCTAGACAATGTGGGGAAAACAGTTGTTGTTAGCTCCATGCTCTTGCCTTCTGCAGTAAACACTAACCTAGCCAGACTGATTGAGGAGTGTGTGCTGCCTATCTGAGATCTGATGCTCCTGCAAGATGCAGTGCCAAAGTGTTACTGTGCTTTTGTGAATGGAAGCTTTTCTGTGTGTGTTTGAGCAGTCCTGGAGGTACCAGGGCAGTAAACACCTGAGACCCTGAAAGGCTGCCTGAAAATTGTTCTCTGAAAAGGGTTCTATGTTTTGTCACTCCTGAGGGCTTCTCCACTTCCAGCTGTGAAGTGGGAATATACAGGCTTTTTGTCAGTATCATGTTGAAAGGCTCAAGACTCTATTTACAATACCTTAAATCTGGGATCCTTCTTTCCCTCTTGTTCCATCTTCCTGGCAAGTTGCTCTTCCTAAGTTTGTAACATGTTCAACAGTGCCTTGCTACATTCCAGTGCTTTTAATTCTCCTTTAACCATGCAAGGGTGTAAATCCTGGAATTTGTAACAGGCTAATTTACACTCTTCAGTTTGTGCTGTTTACTAGAAGACAAAGATCACCAGCTGGGGACAGAACTTAGTTAACCATATCAGTCTCATGGCAGCAGGAGCAGTAACATCCCAGCTCTTTGAAATGAGCTAAAAATCAGGGCTGGGGAAAGCACCTTCCTGAAAGGACTCACCTGACTGCAGGTGGGATAACAGAGAAGTGCAAGCTTGAGCTCTGCTTGTTTTATTCCTACCCAAACTCCTAGAGGAACAAAGTAATTCTGTGTGATTGTCACATGTTATCTCTCACCCAGGAATTTACAGTTTCCATCAGGAAATAAACCAAGGTGTTTAACAGGTATTGGCTGCCAGTCATGCCCTTCCCTACCATGCAGTAAGGTCATACACTCTGTAAAAGTTGCTTGTCCTTTCATGCTTATTCTATTTGTCCCAAGCCATGCTCTGTTAGAGCAGCCAGGAACCCTCACTGCCAGGTCAGAAGCAGAGGTGGGTATCAAAACCTCTGTAAATAAGTGAGCAGCACAAAAGGAAAAGTAAGGTTTTCAGGTGTTAATTCATCCTCCGAAGTCTGAGCTGTGGCTTGCTGAGCAGATAAAGAAGGATGCTTTTGAGTGGTATAAATTTTTCAAAACTGCTGGAAGGAAAAAAGAAAACCACACAGTTCAGAGGGTGTGAATTTTGCCTGGCTGGAATATCCTGTATCTTTGCTTTGCTCAAATAGCCTTATGTATGAAGCACTTTATTCAAATGCAGGAATTAAATAACTATTACTACAGCTGGTAGACTGGAAATGTTTACAGATCCTACATGACATTCCAAGATTCTATCTGTGAGTATTACATGTCTGTAAAAGTGTTTGAAAAAAAGAAAAAAAAAATATTGTGTAAGAAGTTACACATGTGATGTATTATTTCTGGCGTGATTGGATTAAACTTGTGCTGCCCACCGTGCTGGGTTGGGCTGACATCAGTGCTGAGCAGTCACCTGCTCCTGCCCTGAGACAAAGCCTGCAGCCCTAGGGGATGGCACTTTGCAACAGGAACTTGCTGGAAGTTGAATTGGTTCCACATATTTTTACCTGAAATGCTCAAATAGTTCGACTTCACAGCAGGAGCTGCAACAGTGAAAGCTGGGCTGAGATAGGACTGTACATCTACCTCTGGCTTCTTTCTTAACTCCCATAACCTCAAACTGCCTTCAGCTGGAGCATCTTGAACTTTTCAAAAGGCTTTCACAGCACTATTGCAACAGAACAACACATGCTTTTACTAGAAAAAGTATTTTTAATAATAATAAAAAAAAAATGCACCCATAAGGGAAAAGCTTAAGCCACTAAAAAGGGTTAACACTTAAGTTTTTAATAGCTGTGGTCACATAACCACCAAAGCCTACCACAACCAGGGACTTCACAGCATGAAAAATCTTCTTGCTTTTATTTCTGTTCTAAGAAACCCCCTTACTTTCCTTACTTTGCAGTGACCTGGAAAATAAGTCTTGTTCTCTGGAGAGCTGAGTAAGGAGATCCTTGTAAGTCATACGCAGGATGCTGTAGCCCAATGTGGGCAGTAGCATGTGGGCTGACTGCTTCTGCTTTCTTAAACTTCCTCCACTTCTTTCAGGCTGTGCTCCAGGATGGTGTCTTGTCCCTGGAACTTAAAATAGCCCCGAAACAGCTTTCTCTGAAGCAGCAGGGGAAACCAATAGCTGTCATCTGGCCACATGCAATGGAACGGCACCTCGTCCAGCTGAAACCACTGCGGCCGCATTTCTGGTGGCAGAAAACAAAAGAACTCTGCATGGGACTCGCTCATGGATTTTTGCTGCCTACACTGTGAATACTGGAACAAGCAGCTTCCCTCTACAGCCCAGTTGCCCTCTTTCTGGAAGGCATTTTCATGTGAATAGTTCTCCATTTTATAAGGGCAATGCTATCTCAGAAGAGCATGCACATCCTTCCTTTCCCCACACCAGCCACCTACCATCACTTTCTGTTGGCTCTCCATGAAAGTGATCTGCCCGGAAAATGTGAACGTCCATGAGTTCAGAGTTGCCTACAAATTCAAATGTGATCTGACCCATCTTCTGCAAGGTGTCCACAGTCAGTCCACTCTCCTCCAGGAGCTCCCTGCACAAGAAAAAGACTTCTTACATGAAAGTGAGCATGGGGAGGACAAAAATGCAGTCATTAGCTTTACTCACACATTCAAAACCCTGAAACCAGGGTGAACCAAAGGTGAAAGCTCTTAGAGTACAACAGAGCAGAGTTCTGACCTGCACCAAGCCACAAAGCTACAACACCACAGTGCAGCCAGGTCAGGTGGGATTGTGTGTTATTTCAGGCTCCTGAGGCTGGCAGGAAAACAGTCTGTGTTGGAAGGGGAAGATTCAGGAGAATTGATCATTTAGTATAATTTAGTCCTTGTGACATTAAATCTCTGTGGTAAGGGAGGAGTGGGTAAGTGAAGTCATGAGACTGTAGCTGGGTGTGGCTTCAGAACTCCAAGATACACTTAATTTAGACAGGCAAAAGGCTTTGCTAACTTCAAGCTGAACCTTCCAGAGTTGTGCAGAAGCAGGTAATGAAAGAAAGACCATCTATATCTACTACACAATCAGCTACTTTTGAGGCAAACTGAAGCTTAGTTAAATTACGCACTTGATAAAACCATTTGCACACAGAAGGTTGAGAATTCTGTTTCCCATTCAAATGCAGTGTAAAAAACACAAAGCAATTGTGCAAACTTTGCCTTTTTGCTCCTTGGAAGCACATTGAGCATAACAAGAGGCCAGAAGGCAGGACTTTTTAAGAGCACTTGGAGAGCTGTGCCAGCTCTTTTCCACGCACCACCATGCACAGCTACTTGAATCACATTCAGTTATTTCCTTTCTTTATGTTCTGTGCTCAGGGCTTTTTTAATTTTACCTCCCTCTAACAGAAGCAGCCTGGCTTGAAGTTAGTAATGGTTTTTTTAATGTACAAAACCAAGGAATACTCTGAAACTCTGTATCTTTAGTTGTAGTTAATAATTAATGCAGTTGCCTATTTGGCAGGGACAACAATTTTAAAATGTAATGGAAATTATTTTAAGGCTCCAGCTTTCTTTGGTGTTGGTTTCATGGATCCCATCTTTCAAAATTATACTTCAAATTAATGTCTTGGCTAATTTTAGTTTATCTTCTGAGAAGCTCTCTATGTCTAAACTAGAGGCAGTTTTCCAGCAATGACTCTAAAAGCCTCCTTTTACAGGCACTGATAATTGAACAACAAAGCACAACACTGCTACAGTTCTCCAGGCAATTTATCCATCAGCTGCTTGGCTCTGTAGCAAATGGGAACATTACAGGTGGCAAACTAGAAATAACTCATTCACTAAATGCTCCCCTTACAAGATGTGCCACTGAGGACCTGCACAGGTGCTTGTAGGAATGTGCTGTACACAGCAGAAAATGGAAATCTTACTGGTTCTGGGAACTTCTGTGTTGTGGCTTAATATTTAACTACCCGTGCTGAGACTTCACACCTGCTGCCTCTGCCAGACCTGCTGTCTCCCAGCTGAGACAGAGCAACATGGAACCACAACCTCAGACCTCAACTGCCAGTGCAGAGTGGAATTGGTACGAAGGAAGTTTGATTTGGAGTGTGTGGTGCTTCCTGCAGCAGGGCTGTGCCCCGAGGCAGCACTGCACCAGCAGTACTCCAGCCAGCAAGGTGGCCAGCGTGTCCAGCTGCTCCTGGCTCTGGGACAGGCTCCTGCCCAGCTGACCTCAGCAGGAACTGGTGGGTCATTCCAGAGTTAACTGCAGGTGTAGGGATGGGGACAGTCCCCAGCAGCAGCTGCTGGCTGTGCTGTGGCACATTGCATTTGGATTGAGGAAAATTTTAGCACTTGACATGTGTAAACAGAGGTTCTGGTGTCAAACTCAGGCCAGCACAGGTAAACACACCCAAGGAATTAAATGCTACGTGAAACCATTAGATTTACCCCAGAGCTGGTGGCAGGAAAGTCTAGCAAATGTTAAGTGACAAAACTGATGTCTCTCTCTACTCAGAGATGATAAATGACACGAAAAGCCATGATGAAGTGTCAGGTACATTAAAGCCATGTGCTGCTGGGAGCACATCTGCACAGAGACCGTTCTGTCCCTGGGCCCAGCTCACCACAGGACCTGGGTGGTTGTGCTGGCACAGCTGAGATGGCTGTTGAGGGCAGAAGCTGTTGGGAACCAGCTGAGCACACCATGACTGATCTTCCTGCAGGTGCGAGGGCAGCTTTGGGCACGTTATCAGAAACTGAGGAGATGGCAAAGTATGGCTTTGTATTAGCAACATTCATGTAAAGAACAAGGTACCTAATTTTTAGAGGAACTTAGCAATTCAGCTGTGATTTGCTACTTAAGTTTAATGACCAGACAGATGAAAGAACTACAAGAAATCAGTACTAAAGGGTTCAGAAATTACACAGTGCCTTTTTACTGATTAAATTCCATAACTCAGCATTAGCACTTAAAAATGTCACCATACGATCAAATAATAAGCAGTTTGGTTAATTATTTAAATTAAATAAGTTGTAATTCTGCTGTATAGCCAAAATTAAGCCCTGCACCTCTCTGAAGAGTGCAAGAACCTCCACCCACCACTCAGACTCATTCTCAGTTTAAATCAGAGTCCAGGAGATGGGACAGAGGATATAGGATGTTCCAATTGCTCACAGACTGGACGAGTTTAAGATTTGCAGATGACAAAGGGCAAGTAATCCTGTTTCTCTGTACATGTGGATGATCCTTCATTATCTGTGGAGCAGGTGTTCAGAGGTGGGTCATGACTGCACTGGTGGGTAACACGAGGGTGTCACTGACCAGACAAGCCGTGGTACCTCCACCTGCAGCCCACTGCCGATGGTCCAACACCTCACCTGTGCCTCCATGCCTGTCCCCATGGCGCGGACCCAGCCCTCACCTGCGGGCAGCCTCCTCGATGCTCTCCCCGGGCTGCACCTTCCCCCCGAAGCCATTCCACAGCCCGGCGCCGAACCCGCGCTTCTTCATGCCCAGGAGGACGCGGGACGGCTGCACCACCAGGACCAGGGTGAAGAGTCTGGACGTGTGCATGGCTCCTGGGAGAGGGACGAGGCGGCGCGCTGTGCCAAGAGCTCCCGGCCCCCTTCGGAGGGAGCCGGGGGCGCACAGAGCCCCTCACGCCCAGCACCCCGCCCCAGTGCCCGGTCCCTCTATCGCTCCCACTGACCTCGCTTTCCTGCTACCTCAGCACCGCCTTCCCAAAGTTCGACCCCCCCTTCCCAAATCCTTGTTTCCCCACACCCCCGGGAATCCTGACCACCTTTAACACCCTCCTCTCCCAGCACCCCTTCTCCCAATCTTCGACCCCCTCCGCAAACCCCTGTCCCCCCAGATTATTCTCCGACCACCCTCAACACCCCTTCCCCGAATCCCTGCGCCCCTAGAAACCCCTCCCCAAATTCTAAATCCTTGCTGCTCCTAACCTCCCTCCCTGAATCCTTAACTCGCAGCTCCCCTTCCCCACATCATCGACCCCGACCCCGCGCGCACCTCAGCCCCACAGCCGCGGTTTCGCGCCCGCCTCGGTGTCCCCCTCAGCCGCGGCCCTTCCCGCGCCGCCGCCGCCCCGCCCGCGGCCGCCGTGAGGGGAGGCGGGCCGGGGCGGGCCGCGGCGGCCATGGCGGCCGCGGGCGGCGCCGCCATTGCCGGGGGCAGGTGCGCGGCGGGGCCGCTGAGGCGACCCCACGCAGGGGATGGTGGCGTGTCGTTCGTGCCGGAGCTTCACTCGGGAATGGGTTAATGGGTGTTTGGGGTTTTAGGGTAATGCCGCCCGGCGGTTCCCGTGGCTGTTGGTTGCTCTGGCGGGAGCTGGCAGGAGCTCGGGCGTCCCTCCGATCCTCTGAGCGGTCGCGGGGGGCAGCGGCCCCGCTGAGGCAGCTCAGGAGTGCTGAGCTCACTCTGCCATGTCGTGTCCGTAAAACACCTGAGCAGAAGCCGGAGTGGGATCTCTTTCCCCCCTTAGCTCAGGATAACACGTGAGGCCTCATCCAAAATCTGACCCTGCTGTTGTGATAGGACCTGATAAGTAAAGGTGCCAAAAATCTCAAATTTAGGGGCTTCTTTTTAGAATCAGGGAATGGTTTGGGTTGGAAGGGACCTCTGGAGACCATCTAGCCAAATAACCCTTCCAAGGCAGGGTCACCTGGAGCAGGTGACATAGGAACGTGTCCAGCTGTAGTGAGAATCTCCCTACAGTGAGACTCCACACCCTCCCTGGCTGCCTGTAGTGGCTGGAATTAATTACTGTAGAGACTTCTGAAACACAGAGTGGTTATTTACTAACTTGCCTCTCTTCCTGGCTTTGCATGAGCAGGTGCCTGCACACCACAGTGAAGTTTCTGAGGAAAACTGGAGCTGAGCAGAGGTGGTTGGAGCGGCACTTGAAGGATCCCTTTGTCAAGGCATCGAAGCAACAGCATTACCGATGCCGGAGTGCCTTCAAGTTGCTGGAAATTGATGACAAGCTTTGTGTTCTTCGTCCAGGATTTTCTGTTCTTGACTGTGGAGCAGCACCTGGTGCTTGGAGCCAGGTTGCTGTACAGAGGGTCAATGCCTTAGG